AGTCCAGCTTGGTGTTCTGTTTATCTATTGCCACCACAAAACTTGGTGATTTCAAGCAAATATTTATCACCATCTCTCACATTTCTATGGATTGACTGGGTTCAGCTGAGCAGCTCACACACCAGGTCTCACATGGGATTACAGTCAGATGTCCACTGGGGCTAGCATCATCTGAAGGTTTGACCCATCTGGGTATCCCAGATGGCTCACTCACCTGGCTGGGCTGTTGTGGGGAGCTCAGCCAAGGCTGTCCACCAGAGCACCTACACATGGCCTCTTGTATGGCTTAGCCATCTCATAGTGTGGTGGCTGGCTTTACAGAAGGTGCATCCCAAGAGAGAATTCTAAAGGACCCAGGCATAAGCTGCAAAGCTTCTTATGGCTTAACCTTGGAAGTCTCAGAACATCCCTTCCATCCCACTGTATTGATGAAGTAGGCTCAAGCCCACATTCAAGGTGGGGGAGATAGGAGTCTGCATCTTCATGGGGGAGGGGCAAGTTCACACTATGGAAGGGAATGTGGCATGGAGACAGTGTGGTGAACATCTCTGGAAAGTACCATGTTTCATGTGCATCAACCTGCCCCTCCCAGGCAACAGAATGTGTGCTAACTGGGGAGAAGAGCAAGCACTGTCCGAAGAGTCAGACCAGGGCATATCTTGTAGCTGCCTGGGGCCAGCCAGCTGTCACTTATACCGACAAAGTAGCAGCTAAGTCCCAACAGGCTGCTAGTATCTCCCCATCTGCTTTAGGGGTTGTAGTAAGGACAAAAGGAGATTAGCTGCTTCTTCATTCTAATCTGGCAAGCATTCACCAAGCATCTTGTTCATTCATTCCTTCAACAACTGTTTGCTGTAGGTCTACTCATGCTGGCCCAGAGATGACTCTGACATGGCCAGAGGACACTGAGTTCAATGGAGACATATGCTTACTCGGGTGGTTACAACACACTGCTTAGCACAGGAGACCTGGGTTAGACAGTCAATGGGGGAGGTCACAGGAAGGGCTGGCTTTGATTAAAGAAGGAGAAATCAAGGAGGGATTCTCTACCTTCAAATACAAACTGAAGGACCCATGTAGGACTCCAGGGAGGTAAGGAGGAGAGAGCAGAGGTCCCCCAGGAACAGCAGGGGAGGAGAAGCTATGGCAGGTTTAGCAAATGGCAGGCCAGCTGCAGTGTCTGTAAGGTAGAGAGGAGAAAAGTGGGCATGGCCGTTTGGAAAAGTGATCAAGAGGAGGAAAGCAGGGGTCTGAAGGCCATGGAAAAGTTTGAACTTTCAACAGAGCCTTTGAATGACTTTTCTATAATCAGAACTGACCTAGAAAGATCGCTAAGGTTGTGTGAATGGAGACAGCCTAGAAGAAGGTGACTCAAGAGGTAGCACAACTGAGTCATTATGATTTTGTTACTTATAAACTAGATTCCAGGCCCTATTTCACACTCTTTGCACTCATTAACCTATTGAATTTCATGCCAACTACATAAATTAAGGACTGCTGTCATCACCCCCACCTTTTATTTATTTATTTTTTTGAGACGGAGTTTCACTCTTGTTGCCCAGGCTGGAGTGCAACAGCGCGATCTCAGCTCACTACAACCTCTGCCTCCAGGGTTCAAGTGATTCTCCTGCCTCATGTCCCGAGTAGCTGGGATTACAGGTGCCTGACACCACGCCCAGCTAATTTTTTGTATTTTTAGTAGAGACAGAGTTTCACTATGTTGGTCAGGCGGGTCACGGCACAGAGAAGGTAAGTTTCTTGCCCCAAATCAGAACCCAAGGGAGTGGTTGAGCTGAGAGATGAGCCAAGGCGGTCTGGCTGTAGGGTTTGCCTGCTCCACCACGTGGCTTGCTCTGCTGTGGCTGTCATCCAGGCGGAGACATGACAGGGCCTTTGCAAAGGGCATCAGAGAGGCAGGGGCCATGCTTCCTGTCCCTGACTGAGTGCCCAGGGGCTGAACTAGAGGCTGGCAGGGAATTACTACATGCGAGCACATGAATAAAGAAGAGGCAAGGCCCAAGTGCCCACTATAAGCCTCTGCATCACTGAGATTCTTAACAGTCTTTTCTTTTTCCTTTTCTTAGACACAGGATGTCGATCTGTCACCCAGGCTAGAATTCACTGCAGCCTCAAACTCCAAGGCTCAAGTGATCCTCTCACTTAGCCTCCCAAGTAGCTGGGATGCAGGTACAGTCCTAGCCAATTTTTTAGAAAAAAAATGTTTAGAGTCAGGGTCTTGCTCAGGCTGGTCTCAAATTCCTGACCTTAAGCGATCCTTCTGCCTCTGCCTCCCAAAGCATTGAGATTACAGGAGTGAGCCACTATGCCTGGCCTAACCTCCTTTTCTTGAAGTAACATGACCAGTAGCTATCTGGCTGCTTGTCTCAGTGGCTGCACCCCCTGCCAACCCAGCTCACCAAGTGCTGGGGGCATTGATTGAAAAATGAGGCACTAGGCCGGCCTGCAGGCTGATGAGTCAGCCTCCACAGGCATGCACAGACAGACCCTGTGTGCCACAGCATCCCAGAAACCCCGAACCAGGCCCACTGCCTCATCCCCCTCCATCCACCACCGTCCCTTCCCATCCCCTGCTGAGTGCAGCAACTAAAGCCCCTGCTGAAGCTCACATTAGGATTCAGAGCAAGAAGCCCCTGCTGGAAGGCTGCTGGCAGCCAAAGTGAGCTGGGAAGGCGTCGCTTTGGAGCACACAGGGGGCCTGCCGAGAATTTCCTGAAGGGTTGGTGCTGAGAGAAGCAAAACAGATGCTTGCTGGGGACAAGTTGCACTTCACAAACAGCTAGCGCCAACCCAGTCCTGGGGACACAGAGAGAGCACTCATTGGCATTGGAACTGGAAGTGCTCAAATCGTCCTCTCGTTAAATCCTCAGTCACTGTCCTGCCTGTCACAAGGCTCCAGCAAAAGCTCAACTCTCTCTGGCTTGCTGCTCTCCTGTGTTTTTTCTTTCAAGAAGTGCTGGGGTGGCCTAATGCACCAGGCATTGGCCTTCTGATCATCTGCTCCGTGACCCAAGCTTTTGCGCACCACCTCGTCCCCCTGCCCGCTGGCATTTAGCCCTCCTAACGAGTAAGGGCATGAGAGAGGTGTAATCAGCCCCATGCAGCAGGGCAACAGGTAGGGAAGACGAGAAAGTGAAGCAACTAGGCTCAGCAAATATTCAGTAGAGTCAGGATTTCAAACCCAGATGTTCTGACTCCAAGGCCAGTGCTCTGCCTCCCTCATACCTTTCATTTTTAGTTTTTTTTTCCACATTATAACAAGGTTATAGTTTATACTTTGCTAAATATTTATAAACTGAATATACCCATTTAACCAACACTTGGATTAAGAAATAAGGACATCACTGCATATGATGTATACATGTGCATCATATATGTATATGTATGTATATGTATATGATATCTATACGTATATGATGTAGATGGTCTCCAATATATGACAGTTTGACATACTGATTATTTTATTTTATGATGGGGAGAAAGTGATACATGTTCAGTAGAAACTGTACTTCAAGAAGGCTGAGCGCAATGGCTCACGCCTGTAATCCCAGAGCTTTGGGAGGCCAAGGCAGGTGGATCACTTGAGGTCAGGAGTTCAAGACCAGCCTGGTCAACATGGCAAAGCCCCATCTCTACTAAAAATACAAAAGATTAGCCAGGTGTGGTGGTGTGCACTTGTAATCCCAGCTACTCGGGAGGCTGAGGCAAGAGAATCACTTGAACCCAGGAGGCAGAGGTAGCAGTGAGCTGAGATCGCACCACTGCACTCCAGCCTGGGTGACAAAGCGAGACTCCATCTCCAAAAAAAAAAAAAAAAAAAAGAAAGAAAGAAAGAAAGAAAAGAAACTGGATGTAAAATACTTATACAACCATTCTGTTTCTCCGTTTCAGTACAGTATTCAATAAATTACACCTCAAGTCTATCTTTCTCATGACACCATTCTGGGGGAAGACCTTACTAAAGATCAGGCTTTGGGCCAGTGGACATAGAGAAGGACACGTTGCAGAGAAAGGCCCCTGCAAGGAGAAAAGTGAAACAGAGGACTTGGTGTTGGTGAGCCGTGAATACCCCAGCAGGTCAGAGCTTCCTTCTTGAGGCAAACAGCATGGAGGAGCAATGGAGGAGGCTAAGAAGTGACTTTATCATCCTCAACCAGTCACCTGGACTAGTGACCAGAAGCCTGCAAAGCATGGCCAAGCAGAAGGTCTACTGAAAAGCTGGGTCACCTCAGTCCTGGGGGCATTTACTGCATGGGCCACTCACCTATTTCTTTGAAGGAAGTTCTGTATCTGCAAGCAACAGAGGCACTAGGAGAGAACACAGACCTAGATTTTATATCTGAGCTCATGAAGCAGAGTATAAATATTCAAAAATGCAAGAGCAAGTTTCAGAATCTGCTAAAATACATGTCCCCAAATCTAACCCTTTTATATTCTTAGATACTCCTGGGCGAGATGCCACCAAGCGGCTTCCACCAGATCTATAGATCCGCCCTGTCATGTCAGTCTGACCCTGGGACCACATTTGGCTCCTGGGACACTGTCCAAGGTCACCTGCTGGGGACACTGATGGACCAGGCAGGAAGCGATGTGGCATATTGCAGCAGTGGTGGGAGCTCCAGAGCCCAGGTTCCCTGCATCTGTTTCTGTGCCCAGCATATAGCAGCCACACGGCAGTGTGATCCAGGCCAAGTGTCTTTGTCTCGTGCGCTTGCTCCATTCTCTATCTCAAAGATTCCTCTGGGCACTGACATTCAGTGATTCTTATCACACAAGGCCCTGGCCAACCCTGAATCTCCAGAGAGATGTCCATGGACAAGACTCTGGATGCTGAACCCACGGCATCAGCTAGGCCCAGAGATTGGGGCAGGCTGGTCCAGGGGCTGGCCAGGGTGACACTCATTTTGTCCAGCTGGCCACTCGGGCTGAGACACAGACTCCCCAGGGCCAGAAAGTACCAAGTTGCATGGCCTTGATTTTTTAATCTATAAAATAAGAATTTATTTCTTTGTTTTATCGTAAAACAGTGTTAACTGTGTGGAGATGAGAGAGCCTATGTCAAGCCCCAACAATTATGTGTCCCCACCTTTCCTGTTCTTTCTGGATTACCCAGTTTTCGACATGATGAGTGGAATGGTTGTTGTAAGGATTTTGAGATGGGGAAGGCTTCTTGAAGATCTACCCCTGGTTGGCTGTGGACCATGGGCAAGTCATCTGATTCTCACAACCCATGAAAAGGCCAAGCCAGAGTTATCAGACCCACAGATTAGTCAGAGTCCCTTTGACTGCTAAAAAAAATACTCAAGTTCACCAGCTCTCTAAAAAAGAGGGGTGGTCCAGACTCAGGAACAGTGGGATCCAGGCACCCAAGTACCCTAGGATGCTTTCTCTAACCTCCATCTGTTTCTCAGACTGCTGACTTTATTCTTCAGTTTCAGCTTTTCAAGAGGTTGAAACACTGGCCACAGGCATCTCTGGTTTATATCTAAACAGCTTTGTACGAAAAGGGATAACAAGCTCTTTGGGCCAGCTTAAGTGGCAAAAAATTCCAGGGAAAGGATCTGAGTGGCCTGGCTTGGAGCCCATAGCCCCCATGGTCACTAGGAAGAGCAGATGGTCAGGACAGGAGAACGCAAGGTTAAGGGCAGGGGCAAAGACAGTAGCCACCACACCCCAGTTGGCAAAGCAGGCTGGCTGAGCCCTAAAGAGGGTAAAGAGTGAGGAAAGACTCTGAAAAATGGCAAATGTCACTGGGGCACCAGTGGTCTATGCCAGCAGGTGCCATGGTTGGCATGGAGGAGGCTGTGGTCTCCTGGGTGCTGGGCCAGTCTGTCAGAGGCATACGAATCAGCCCCTTTCTCAAGTGTTCCCAAAACTGTGTTCCCAAAGTAGTGACCAGAATGAGGACAACTTTTATTTTCTCAATTTCATCATCTACAAGGTCCCCAGAATCTGAATAGAGCAGCGCAGGGAAGAGGCTGCCACAGTCCTGCCCCAATCCTGTCGGCAAGTGAGCAAAGGAAAGATTTCTGAGCAGAAAATGTCATGGGCCAGATCACACAGGTGGAGAAGCTGTGGCGGGTACAGAGGTGTGGCACAGCGAGGGCTCACAGGCTGGCTTCCCCGGATTCCTGGGCATCCTCTGCTGCTGGCTCCAGGGCAGGCGCAGCTAGAGCAGGGTCTGCACTTCTGTGCTGGTGTGTCCTGATCAGAGAGAAGTAGGACCACCAGGAGGCTGCTCACTTCTTGTTTCTCCTACCACCTAACCAACATTCAGACACATTCCTCTCTCTACCTCTTGTTAATTCTCCTTGCCCTAAGGGCATTGGCTTTCAACTTGCCAGAAGCAGTGGGGTGCAGTGGAAAGACCATGAGTCCAGAACCAGGAACCATGTTTCTATTCTGCCTCCAATTTGCTGGGTGACCTAAGGCAGAAGTCATTCCCTCTCTGGGCCTTATTCACTTCCTCTGCAAACCAATGCAGGTGGACCAGTCAGGGTCTGAGCCCTTCCCAACTTTTTCTGGTAGGACATGGTGTAGTTGGGCCTGGCATTGCTATGCTTAACCTCTCTCCATCTCCCTTCTCTACCACTTATCAACTCTGCCACACTTACTTCCAGCATTTCCAACTTTAGTTCCTTAGAAGCTTAGCCACCCTACAGACCAGCCACAGGCTATCACATTAGCTTGGTAATGATGAAAGGGAGAGATAAATCATAGTAACACTCTACCCTGTCACCCTCCCAAACCTCAGGGCAGGAGACATCTGAGCTTAGAGAAGCTATAGACCAGCTCAGCTAACAGAAGGCCTCTCTCCCAACAAGGGCTCTCTTCCAGGGTTTGGTGAATCAAGCAATCTCCAAAGATATGCATTACAGGGGCAACACACTTGAGGTTGTTCTTGTTCTAAAGCACCCATTGTACAGATGACAACATCAAACCCCAAAGAAGGGAGATGACTTGCCCAAGATCATAGAACAAGTCAACGTTAGAGCCAAAGCTTGATTCTAGGTTTCCTAAGCCTTGAATCTGGGCTGAACTCTGGGCTAAAACCAATGCTACCTTCTGGATAGACCATGATACAACCAGAGAGCACGCCAACCCTCCCCTCTTTTCTCTTTTGTCTTGCTCCAGAATATACTCCATTTGCTCCAATCAGGCTGAGCTTCTTCCCATACCTTTTTTCCTGCTGTTGCTCCTGCCTGGCTCTCCATACCCTGAAGCCTTTGTGCATGCAGATTCTCCCTGCAGAACTCACCTGCCTCCTTGACTTTCAAGGCACCTTCCTTGACTCCTGCAGTTCTTGGTAATCTCTCTGGTGACTTGGCATCACACTCAGGGTAAAAGCCACAGTGCTTACCGTGGCCAATCTGACTTCATGACGTGGTCCCTGCCTAACTCTTCAGCTCCTCTCCCCATCTCAGGTGCCTTCTACCCTGGCCACGCTGGCTCCCCTGTTGTCCCCAGTCCCCTGCAGTGTGTTCCCACCCAGGGCCTGGCACCTACTGTCCTCCCCAGCTCTCCACACAGCTCACCCTGCACTTAATTCTGTCCCTAAGTCACCTCCCTAGAAAGGCCTTCCCCACCATCCCATTGAATCTGACATTGTGCCCCTGAACTTTGTATCCTAAACTAATTCATTTTCTTTCAAAAGACTTGTGATTGCCTGAAATTGTATTAAGTATTTGATTAGCGGTTAGTTTGTTGTCTGTCTCCCCCATGAGAACACACACTCCACAGGGGTAGAAACTTTGCTGCACCCACTGCTGTGCCTCTTACTCCTAAAACAATGTCTGGCCCATAGGGGGCCCTCGACAAATAAATCAATAAACAAACTGTTGTAATAAAATGACGTCTCAGAATTCAAAGATGCTAGGATGCCCCTAGTGTGTGTAAGGCAGATCTCATTTTGAAGTTTTTGTCTAAACAAGTCATAAAAATCAGTGCATCAGCACCATTCATGAGCAATCACATACTATCCCACAAAAGAAATATCATATAGTGAACAATCTCAAAATGAAACTAAGAAAACAACTTCATTTACAACAGTGTCAAAAAGAATACTTTGGAATACATTTAACAAAAGAAGTGCAATATTTATACTCTAAAAACTACAAAACGTTGTTGAAGGCGATTAAATATCTAAATACATGGAAAAATATAATATGTTCACGGGTGAGAAGACTTAATACTGTTAAGATGCAAATGCTCTCCAACTTGATCTACAGATTCAATGCAACTCCAATCAAAATCTCAGCTGGCTTCTTTGCAGAAATGGACAAGCTGATCCTAAAATTCATGTAACAATTCAAGGAATCTGGAACAGAAAAAAATATATGTTGAAAAAGAACAAAATTGGAGGACTCACACTTCCTGATTTCTAAGCGTACTTCTAAGTTACAGTAATAAAGACAGTGTGGTACCAGCATAGGAGCATAGGATAAACATGGAGGCTAATTTAACTGGCTTGAGAATCCAGAAATTAATCCTCACATTTAAAGTCAATTCATCTTCAGCAAGGATGTCAAAACAATTCAATGGGGAAATAATAATCTTTTCAACAAAATGGTGCTGGGACAACATGCAGAAGGATGAAATTGGATCCCTACATCAAACTGTATGAAAAAAATTAACTAAAAGTGGATCAAAACCCCAAACAGAAGAGCTAAAACTATAGACCTCTTAGAAGAAAACATGAGGGTAAATTGTTGTGATCTTGGATTGGACAATGGCTTCTTAGATGTGTCCCCAAATGAACAAGCAACAAAATTAAAAATAGAAAATTGGATTTCATAAAATTTTAACTTTTAAAAGTTTTAAAATTTAAAACTTTTGTCCTTCAAAGGCACCATGAAGACTACGAAAAGACAACTCACTAAATAGGAGGAAATTTTTGCTAACTATGTGTCTGATAAGGGACTGTATATAGTATATATAAAGAAGTTTTATGACTCAATAATAAAATGACAACCCAATTAAAAATGAGCAAATGATCTGAATAGATATTTCTTCAGAAAAGACTTACAAATCACCAACAAGCACATAAGCATGTGACAAGATGTTCAATATCATTATTGAGGGAAATACAAATCAAAACCACACTGAGATACCTCTTCACACCAACTAGGATGACTAGCAGCAAAAAGTCAGATAATAGTAAGTGTTGGGCAGCATGTAGAAAAATTAGAACCCTAATACACTGCTTTCAGGACTGGAAAATAGTACTGCCACTTTGGAAAAGAGTCTGATTATGTAACATAGAATTAACACATGACCCAGCAATTCCACTCCTAGTGGGTTGCTGCAAAAGTAATTGTGGCTTTTGGCATTAAAAGTAATGGCAAAAACCACAATAATTTTTGCACCAATCTAATTGATATATACTCGAGACATGAAAACCTGTGTCTTTACAAAAACTTGTATATATGTTCTTAGCAACATCATTCATAATAGCCAAAAGTTGGAAACAACCCGAAGGTCTATCAATGGACAAATGGATAAACAGAATGTGATATATCCTTACAATTGCATATTATTCAGCCATAAAAAGGAATGAAGTACTGATTCTTGCTACCCTATGGCTGAACCTTGAAAACATTATGTTAAGTGAATGAATTCAGTGACGAAAGACCACGTAATATATTATTCCATTCATATGAAATGTCCAGAACATGAAACTCTGTAGAGGCAGAATACACATTAGTGGTTGCTTAGGGCTAGGGGAAATAGGGGAGATGAGGGGGTGATGGCTAAAGGGTACAAGATTTCTTTTCAGGCAATAAAAATGTTCTGAAATTGATTGTGGTGATGGGTGCACAACTCTTGAATACACTAAAACTCATTGAACGGTCACTTAAAATGGGTGAATTATATAGTGTGTGATCTATATCTTAATAGTACTGTTATTTAAAAGAAAAGGGAAAAATACTATGCTGGGCAACATAGGTAATCTACTCAATAGTTTGCCCTTCTAGAATTGAGCCGGGAACATCCCCATAGACACAAATCCCACAACCTACCCGATTTGCAGGGGTGGGAGAAAACCAGCCAAGTGAAAAAATGAGGACTGCAGTTAGCTATACATTTTCTGAAAACTTGGAGAAAGGCCCTGCAAAGCATAGGAACTGGACAGAAGCTGGGTTTGTCCAGATCTAAGAACAGGAGCATCTAGAGAGATCACATAGACCTACATGGAAAATCTCATCTGGCGAGTTTGATCAATTGCAGGGCCCACCTGGAGCCCATGTCAGGAAGCACTATAAATGAGACAATGTCCAAACTCCACCAGAACGTGTCTGTTCCGTCGATAATGTCTGCTAGGGACAGGGAGTGCTAGTATCTGAACCACACATTTGACAGGTGTGTGTCAGTTCACCCCCTCCTGGCAGAGGAGAAACTAAGTCACTGGGAGTAGTGGAGTGGCCAGGGACCTAGAGCCCAAGGTAGATGAAGTCCAACCTTGGCCTGGGCTCTGGTCTCAGCTCTCTGGACGTGCCTACCAATCCAGCCTCACATCTCGTCACACCCTTACTCTTGCTGATGCTGTCACTGTGTGCATTACAGCCTGGACAGCATAGAGCTGGGCCTGAACCCAGGCAGGCAGTCTGGCTCAAAAGTCTGTTCTCTTAACCACCACACTGTCCCTCAGACAATACTGAGGCTCTGACCATCTAATCCATGTCAGACTCTTCTACAAACCTTTTCTTATTGAAGCCCAGAACTACCTTGGGAGAGAAATATTGTTACCCCATTTTAGAGATAACAACCCTGAGTTTCAAGTACTTGGCCCAGATCACACTGTGGCAGAACCAAAGATTCTAAACCAGGTCTGTCCAACCCCAATGCCCATGTCATCCCACAGTCCCAAGAAAAGAGCAACTTTTCCTTCTCTCTCTTTAGTCCCAGCACACAGACATATAGACACACTCACACAAGAACACGCACATACGCATGCGCGCGCGCGCACACACACACACACACACACACAGTCTGAAGGAAAGAAAATTTGGAATGCAAACCCTGAAGTCCCTCAAGTTCACCATTATCCTTGATCCTTGCACATTCTTCATCCTCCATGAGTTCTCCATTCTGTGTCTACCATTGGTTATTGTCAGATTCGTTGTCTTTCCTTCACAGCTGACAATCCAGAAAAAAAATAATAATAATAATCACTTATGCCATTGTCTCTGCTTCTTCACTGCCCTCTCATTCCTCAGCCCAGTGCAACTTGGCTCTGACCCTACCTGTCCGCTGAACCCCAATGCAAACCCAACTCTTTCCATCCTGGACCTTTCTATCTAAGACTTCTCCATGACAGGCAACCTGTCAACCCATCCTCCTTCTTGAAACTCACTCTTTCCTTGACTCCTTTAGCAAATTCTTTGTGTGCTCCATGTCACATCTTTTTGGTCCTCTCGACATCAGCACAGCTGAGAAAGACAGCTGTGTACCAGCTGCCAGCGTTTCACTTCAAGTGTGCTGATGTGACTCTCTCCCTTTCTGCATCAGGGTGACCCCTTGGCTCAAACACGAGCATGGCCAAAAAATGGAGGAGTTAACACCCCCAGGGGCAGCTCCCAACCAGTGGAAGATGGGAGTGGGTGAGTCAACTTCCCATCCTTGGGAGGGAGAGTTCCAAGGCATCTTCTCCACAGTTCCTTAGAGGGTGCTAGTGGGCTTGTGTTCAGTTGCCCACAGTAATTATGCACTCTTTATTCCCCTGTTCTCACACATTGTCGCTCTCCCTGCTCCCTCACTCCAGCTTTCACAATCACCTGACAAATAAGCTGCCTGCACCTGTGTTTGTGCAGGCTCTAGGCTCTACTCTGGGGCACCTATCTTTGTCTCATTGTCTTCCTTCAGCTTCTGACCCATTCATTGCCATCTCCTTATGGACTGCTCCTTTAAGGGTGAACCCCTTCTCTGTTGCTGCTGCCTGGCTCCTCTGCTAAGCCCTGCCCTGTGCCCTTCCACTCACTTGCCTGGTTCACATGAGTCCCTTCCACACGGCCTTGCCTCTGTCCACGAGGGACTTCCTGCCCACAGCACCATGGCCTCTGTCTCTTAACCATCAGGTGAGCACCTCCCCAGCTTGCAACAAGCAAATCACATCACCCCTCTACTGAGCCTTTCCCAATGCTCCCCCAGGACCAACCGCTCCCACCTGAACAACTGCAACTTGCTGAGGGCGATTCCATACTGCATCCAGTGGCAGCCCTTCCAATAGGCTCTTTGCCTCCTTTTACTGTAATGTAATCTCCCTGAGAGCAAAGGCTGTGGAATTTTTATTTCATATCCCCAGAAGTCAGCCCTATCCTGGCCCATGATCCATGCTCAATAAATGTTTGTGGATAAAGGAAAAAGCATTCACGCTACTTTTATCAGACTTGGAGCAAACTTCTCTGCTCCTCCCTCTTCACATGCCCCTCCCCCAGTAGGATTTGGGTCCTTAAGTACATGGTTTTCCCTGCATAGGGTGGGCACATCCATTAGTTTCAGCAGGGAGATGGGAACTCAGCTACCTCTTGCAAGCGCAGTCATTCCTGGGTATCCACTAGGGACTGGTTCCAGCACCCATCATGGATACCAAAATCCAGGGATGCTCAAATCCCTAGTTTAAAATGGGATAGTATTTGCATTATAACCTATGCACATCCTTCCGTATACTTTGTCATCTCTAATTACTTATACTATAGTAGCTAATACAATGTCTACACATCACTTCATTCGTGTGGATTCAGCGTAGGACTCAGTGCACAGCAAATTCAAGTTTTGCTTTTGGAACTTTGTGGATTTTTTTTTCCCTGAGTATTGTTGATCCACAGTTGGTTAAGTCCATGGATGCAGATCCCATGGATACAAAGGGGCAATGGTACTTCAATCCCAATGTTGTAAGGCTTTAAACTTGTAAACATCCCCAGGTCTCTTTAAGGAGCAGAAAGCAGGCACGGAGCCGAGAATATCTGCCTTCGATTCCTCTCCTGGGTCAGCACCTGAGAAGTGGGGCTTCCCCCATATGCACCTTCTTGTGAGATTTTCCTGACGAACCAACAGGAAAAGGGAAAGACCAACAGGCCCACCTGATGGCATCTGTGGCTTGTGATGCTGGGAAGGACCCAGGGATGGCCACAGGTCAGCCAGAGTGAAACGGACGTCCATCCAGGTCAAGCTGGAAAAATGCCAACTCAGAGAGCATTGCCCACCACCTCCTGCAGGCCGCGCCTGTGCTAGATGCCAGGAGAATAAAAGGAGATCCCTGTCCTCAAGTGGAACTTAGTCTAGTGGTAAAATACACCTAACCTCAGCCCCTGACTTCAC